AAACATTTAAGCACCCAACATAAGAACACCTAAATATATAAAACAAATACTGCCCGTCATAAAAGCAGATATCAACAGTAACACAATTATAATGGGGAAATTTAACACCCCACTGATACCAATGGACAGATCCTCCAAATAGAAAATCAACACGGAAACAGCAGCCTTAAATGACACACTAGACCAGATGGATTTAATTGATGATATTTTTAGAGCATTTCACCCCAAAGCAGCAGAATATACACTCTTTTCAAGTGTACATGGAACAGTTTCCAAGATAGACCACATGTTAGGCCACAAAACAAGTCTCAATAACGTTAAAAACACTGAAATCATATCAAGCATCTTCTCTGACCACAATGCTATGAAATTAGAAATCAATTACAAGACAAAAACTAAAACACACACAAACATATGGAGACTAAAAAACATGCTACTAAATAATGAATGGGTCAACAATGAGATCAAGGAAAATATCTAAAGTTACCTTGAGACAAAAGAATATGAAAACACAGTGACTCAAAATCTATGAGATATGTAAAAGTAGTCCTAAGAGGGAAATTCATAGCAGTGCAGGCCTACCTAAACAAACAAACAAAAATTTCAAATCAACAGCCTATCTTTGCACCTAACAGAAATGGAAAAAGAACAGCAAAATAAACCTAAAGTGAGTACAAGGAAGGAAATAATAAAGATCACAGTGGAAATAAACAAAATAGAGACTAAAAAAAACAATGCAAAATACCAATGAAACGAAGAGCTGGTTTTTTGAAAAGATAAATAAAACTGACAAACCTTTAACCAGAATCATTAAGAAAAAAAGGGGGCCCAAATAAATAAAATCAGAAATGAAAAACGAGAAGTGACAACCAACACCACAGAAATCCAAAAAAGTTTAAGAAAATACTATGAGCACCTATACACCAATGAATTAGACAATCTGGAAGAAATGGATAAATTCCTAGAAGCATACAATCTTCAAGGCTGAAGCCAGAAGAAACAAAAAACCTGAACAGACCAATTACTACCAATGGAATTGAATCAGCAATCAACAAGCTCCCAACAAACAAAAGTCCTGGACTAGATCATTCACAGGTGAATTTTACCAAACATTCAAAAAAGAATTAACACCTATTCTCCTGAAACTATTCCAAAAAATCCAGGAGGAGGGAAGGCTCCCAAGCTCATTTCACGAGGCCACCATTACCCTGATCCCCAAACCAAAGACATTACAAAAATAGAAAACTATAGTCTGATATCCCTAATAAAAATAGATGCAAAAATCCTCAACAAAATATTAGCAAACTGAAATCAGCAATACATTAAAAACATCATACATCACGATCAGGTGGGATTAATTCCTGGTACGCAAGGTTGTTTCAGTATCCACAAATCAATTAACGTGATACACCCCGTAAACAAAATGAAAAATAAAAATCATATGGTCATATCAATAGATGCAGAACAAGCATTTGACAAAATCTATCATGCATTTATGATAAAAACTCTCAGCAAAGTGGGACTAGTAGAAACATATCTCAACATAATAAAGGCCATATATGACGAACCAACAGCTAATATCATGCTCAGTGGGGAAAAACAAAAAGCATTCTCCTTAAGATCAGGAACAGAGCAAGGATGCCCACTTTCACCACTCTTATTCAACATAATACTGGAAGTTCTAGCCACAGCAATCAGACTAGGAAAAGAAATAAAAGGCATCCAAATCGGAAAGGAGGGAGTAAAATTGTCAATATTTGCAGATGACACAATACTGTATATAGACAACCCCAAACATTCCACCAAAAAACTAATAGAACTAATAAGTGAATTCAGTAAAGTAGCAGGATACAAAATTCATATTCAGAAATCTGTTGCAGTTTTATACACCAACAACAAACTATTAGAAAGAGAAATTAAGAAATCAGTCCCATTTACAATTGCATAAAAAAAATACTTAGGAACACATTTAACCAAGGAAGTAAGAGACCTGTACTCAGAAAATTATGTCATTAAAGAGAGAAATTAAAGAAGATACAAATAAATGGAAACATGCTCATGGGTAGGAAGAATTAATATAGTTAAAATGTCCATACTAACCAAAACAACAGATTCAACACAATCCCTATCAAAATACTAATGACATTTTTCACAGAACTAGAAATAATCCTAAAGCTTATATGCAACCATAAAAGATCCCGGATAGCCATGGAAATCCTGAGAAATAACACAGCTGGAGGTATCATGCTACCTGCTATCAAATTATACACGGCTACAGTAATCAAAACAGCATGGTGTTGGCATCAAAACAGACACATAGATAAAAGGAAGAGTATAGAGAGCCCAGAAATAAACCCACACCTATATGGTCATTGAATCTATTATGAAGGAGGCAAGAATATACAATGGGGTAAAGACAGTCTATTTAAAAAATGGTGCAGGGAAAACTGGACAGACACATGCAAAAAATGAAACTGGGCCTCCTTCTTACACCATATACAAAAAGAAACTCAAAATGGATTAAAGACTTAAATATAAGACCTGAAACCATAAAACTCCTAGAAGAAAATATAGAAAGCAAAATCTCAGATACTACCCTTAGTTATATTTTTTCTGATCTATCTCCTCAGGCAAGGGAAACAAAAGAAAAAAATAAACAAGTGGGACTACATGAAATTAAAAAGTTTTTTCACAGCAAAGGAAACCACCAACAAAACAAAAAGACATCCTACTGAATGGGAGAAGATATTTGCCAATGATACATCTGATAAGGGGTTAATATACAAAATTTATTAAAAAAAACTCATACAACACCAAAAAAATCCCAAACAATCCAATTAAAAAATGGGCAGAGGACCTGAATAGACATTTCTCCAATGAGGACATACAGATGGCCAATAGACATATGAAAAGATGTTCAACGTAACTAATCATTAGAGAAATGCAAATAAAAACTACAATGAGATACCACCTCACTCATGTCAGAATGGCTATCAGCAATAAATCAACAAACAAGTGCTGGCGAGGTTGTGGAGAAAAGGGAACCCTGGTGCACTGTTGGTGGGGTTGCAGATTGGTGCAGCCACTATGGAAAACAGTATGGAGGTTCCTCAAAAATTAAAAATAGGACTACCTTATCGCTCAGCAATTCCACACTTGATATTTATCCAAAGAAATCCAAAACACTAATTCATAAAAATATATGCACCCCAATGTTTACCACAGCATTATTCACAATAGCCAAGACATGGAAACTGAAATGCCCACTAGTATATGATTGGACAAAGAAATTGTGGTACATTTATACAATGGAGTATTTCTCTGTGATAAAAAAATAAAATCTTACCATTTGCAACAACATGGATGGACCTAGGGGATATTTGCTAAATGAAATAAATCAGACTGAGAAAGACAAATACCATATGATCTCACTTATATGTGGAATCTAAAAAACAGAATCAATGAGCAAAAACAGAAATAGACTCAGATACAGAGAACAAACTGATGGTGGCTAGATGGCAGAGGTGTTAGGGGATGAGGGGGAAGGTGAAGGGATTAGAAAGTACAAATTGGTAGTCACAAAAGTCATGGGTATGTGAAAGACAGTATGGGGAATATAATCAATAATGTTGTAAAGACTATGTAGGGTATCAGATGGGTACTGGACTTATCAGGGTGATCACTTCATAGATTATATAAATGCCTAACCACTGCACTGTACACCTGAAACTAATATAAAGTAATACTGGGGAAAAATACATATATACACACACACATGGTGCCAAAACATGAAGGTACATTTTAAGAAATGAAAAACTGTATTAAAATTGTAATACTCAATATATACTGATAACAAAAGATGAATACAAGTCTTGCATATACATTTTTTGGCACCCTTGTTATAGATATGGGGTGCCAAAAAATGTATACACATTTTAAGAGATGTTAACACTTCGGTCAACGTTGCTCAAATAGTAGTGCGTCATAATGACAAGTGTCTGGACGCTGATGGTAACCACTTTGAGCACCTCCTGTAATTGCAGAAGTCATGTGTGACTTGTATTCATCTTCTGTTATCAGTATATATTGAGTATTACCATTTTAATAGTTTTTTTCCTTTCTTAAAATGTGTATACATTTTTCTGGCACCGTGTGTGTGTGTGTGTGTGTGTGTGTCTGATACAGATAGATATAGATAGATATTCCTTTTGCTAAAAGAGCATTATTGACACTATAGGCAAAATTTCTATGGGGCCTGTAGATTAAATGGTATCAAAGTTAATTTCCTGATTTTGATAGTTGTAATGTGGTTATGAAGAATGTCTTTAGGAAATTTTCACTGAAGCATTTAAGGATAATGGGGTATCATGTCCGTAACTTAGATGTTTCAGAAAAAATGTGTATACATACATATACTATATACACATACAAAAATATACACATACATATGAGAGAGAAAGAGAGAAAGCAACTGTGGTTAAATGTTAATAATTGGGGGACCTGGGTGAAGGATATATGGGAGTTCTTTGGGCTATTCTTACAACTATTCTGTAAGTGTGAAACATAATATTTCATATATATTTTTTTAAATACTGAAAAGAAAATTGAGTGTTTGTAACCTGAGTCATACATAAAAGCTTTCATATTTTGCCTGTCTACCCCTCCATCTTGTTCTAAAAACAATTTAGTCTTACAAATATGTAAAGAAAAAACAAACCACAACATAAGTTGAAAACAAATAAGAAATACATGTGGTCTTGGCAAGAACCTTCTAAATTGTCAAATTCTACAAAATGCTCTTGAAAATTTGACACATTATGGAGAGAGGTTTCTCTTTGTTTTGGGAAACAGCCCAAACTTCAATATAGCTATTAGTTCTTTTGTGTTCCTGATAACCTTTTGTTCAAAACCTGGCTGGAATTAGACACAGAGAATGCAATACTGGGCTATGGAGGCAGAAAATCATTGTTAGTAAGAATAAAGGAAATAGACTTGAAAACTTTTTACAGAATTTTATGCAGGGATACACACTTTATTAAATTTGCATTCTAAGATATACATACACAAAGTCAGCATTTCACAAAATTTCCTATTATTACAAAAGCAGGTATCATGAAATACAGTGATTTTATAAGTCAAGCAAAAGAGCATCATCTATAGGATTTTCTTATCATCTCGTACTTGTTTTCAAATAGAAGCCTGAAATATGATATAAGACTATATTAGACCAGGGAGGGAGAATTTTAATTTATAACAATGATCACTTTTCAAATATTAAACTTTATATAAAAATAAAGGGGTACCGTCAACCAAGCTCATCTGAAGGTTAGAATCTCTTTTATTTATTTTAAAACAATCCCTGCACAAACTTAACTTTCCAGTCACTTTAATAAAAACAAACCTTAGTTTAAACATTAAAGTGAATCATCTTGCCTAATTCTCATACCATTGGAACAATTTCATTTTCCTGTCCCAATTCTATCCCACCACTGAACTTCAAAAATAAATATCATCACATCCCAAAGGTTATTTCTTAAGAGTCCTAAACTAGAGCCAAAAAATGATGGCCAAAAGTGTCCCTTTAAGGCAAAAAGAAGGTAGAGTGAGGGTGGATCAATATCCCGTAAGATAAAACCATCTCTCAGTATTTTATAGGCAGAAACAGCTTAACGTGGTTCTTCCACAAACAGAATAAATACAGTGAATAACATCAAAGTAATGTTTCTTTAAAATGGCATACAAGGGAACAATCTTCACAATATATACATTTATGTTAGGTTTGAAAGATTATGGACTTTGCACAGGTGAAAGCAATAGGAGAAAGCCATTAATGGCCATTATGGCAGTTAGTACAGTTTAAAATAAGCAATGCATCTGATGCTAACAGAACTACTTACTGCTAGCTAAGAGATGCTCTCTTAGAATTGAAAGAGAATAAGGTTCCCTTCAAGCCGTACAGTATTACTAGTTTGTGAGTGCCCACAACGTGCAACATCTTCCTTTAAAATTCAAGGATATTTGCCTTCAAAAGATACAAGTGCAGTAGTTTTCGTTTCTTACATTCATTCAAAAATGGAATATTATGATCCTAGCAGGCAAATTTGCGCATTAAATACAGACAACCCACCCATGATTACTGAACATTAAAAGAAATCTATCACAACAGACATTTTTACAGTTTTAAATAATAAATAACACAACAACAGACTAAACTCGGTTTTTTTAAAGAGCTCCATTCAGGATTTCCCTCTTTTAAAATTAAATAACTTCTGGTACCTCAGACTCACTATCACAGAAATTGTTCACAGCTCAAACAGCTTCTTAAAAGCAGAATGCGCAATAACATTGACATTAACATTCAGTTCCTAAAAGCTGCCTCGTAGATATTAAACCGCCCTTGCTATAAATATAAAGCAGCATGAACAAGAACTGAATTCTGATTCCAGTGGCAACAGAATGACCAACACACAGTCAACAGCACCACTCACCACACACAACAAAACAAATGAATCCAATGACAAAAACGTAATCAGGAAAAGTAGCAGTTGAGACATTATGTGGCAATCAGGCACATAACGACCCCTTTTCTACCCTACCATGTGATATACATCTTTACAGCACAGCACTGCACCCCAAGACACCTCAGGCCTCGTAATATCTCCCATAGACAAGCTGTCAAGCTCCGCGTGTGCTTTTCTACACAGTGGTTTGTGTGTAAAGAACATTATTCATTCATTTGTAGATGCTCCACACATCTGGTCAAGGCAGGAATTTCTTCTCCTTGATGACACCACCTAGAAACATTAACAATATTTTATACATTCCGTGGGGCAACAGGTTTGGGGAGAAAAATAACAAGTGTGGTAGCTAAGACATAAGAACCTGTGGCGACTACTCCAGGCATCCTGTTAAGTTCATTTACATTCTCAGCACTAAAATCAACCTCACGTCACACACTCCAACAGCAAAGAAGCAGTATGGGTAGTAATGAAAGCAACTATGTGTTTCTTCTACTCTGTGAAAAATGGGCAAGTAAGCAGCTCAAACAGAAAGGGCAAACAAAATAATGTACTTTAGGCTGATGGAGAAAAAAAAAAAAGAAACGCTTAATGTAATCAAAAGCAATGCACCTGTTGTGAAATGAGAGCTTTGAAACTATGTAGTCAACAGGAGACAAAAAAAAATCTCTCAAGCAAGAGAATTTCTGATCAATTCTAGGTGTCACAGCACTGCTGGGAAAAAAAGAACCACTATTGAAAATATATCAGTGCTTTTCTTAAACATATAGGCTCTAAGATGGGTGCTCTTTGAGGCACTGAGAAAAAAAAACTATATATACTCTAAGCAATCAAAAATGAGTACTTGAGATTTAGTCACTAGATCCCAAATGAGATCAGCAAAAAGAGACATAAGTGCGGCCGGCCAAATGGCTCAGCTGGTTAAGAGTTTGCTTAAGAGCACGAGCTCTGAGCAACAGGGTCTCTGGTTTGATTCCCACGTGGGCCAGTGAGCTTTGCCTGAGCTGCCACTGAACTGCCAACAGGTGGCAGGATGGCTCAGCTGGTGAGAGCACGTGCTCCTAATGACAAGATTGCCTGTTCGATGGTGGGCTATGCCCGCACTCAACTAAAGGCTGAACTCGGCACCTTGAGCTGAGCTGCCGCCCAGATGGCTCAGTGGATAGAGCATGCGCTCTTAACAGAAGGTTGCCGGTTCGATTCCTGCATGAAAAAAGAGAGAGAGAGAGAGATAAATAAGGTCACTACACTCGTAAAATTGAACTTGAGAGGAGAGATGCCAAAAAAGGACAGCATCAAAATGGTTTAAATCTGTAGTACTTTAATCCACATTACAGATCAAAGTTCTCTGTGTCCCTCACTGGATGTGTTATGTAGGAAAGAGCAGTTAAAACACTGAATCAGAAGTCACTTGGGTGAGAGATCATCCATCAAGATGAACGAAGGGCATGAATTGGAGCATGCTACTGGAGACTCTGCAGTTGTGCTGCCTTTAGCCAGTGAGGCTGAGGGTAAGCCATTGCTGCTACTGCTGCTACTACTGCCATCCAAAATATCTGAACTGAGGACAAAGCAAAAACAATTATAAGCAGATGCATCTATCAGGGTAAAGGTAAACATAACATGCAACAACACAGTTTCAAGAACTCACGAATCAGTAAAGCATTTGTAAATAACAAAAAGCATAAAAGCAAACAGCAATGAACTACATTGTGTTCTATATTCAGATACCTGCAAAAGGACAAAGTCACGGAAATGCAAAGCAAGACACCCGAGGTTCTGTATCGTTTTGAGTGCCCCCCTGGAGGTACCACAATGACCAACCTACAATAAGTGCTCCCCTTGACAGGTCATGGTTTTCATGAGGGAGTTCCCTTTCCTTCAGCTCAAGAGATTTCTATACTTATATTTGCCTGCTTACCTTCCCATCAGCCCTAGAGTAAAAGGAATGGCTACTCATTGAAGTACCTACCCTAGACTGTGTGAAGTGTTCTGTCAAGTACATTACTGCACTGTCCCTCTACTCCAGAACCAAAGCCCTTCAACTGCCCTAGATTTTACCACTTCCCCACTCCCAAGAGGCCTTTGATTCAAACACATTTTTTTTCTAATTTCCTTCATTATTTGCCTTTGATATTCTTCTCATCTTATGAATTTCTTACACTATTTCCTTTCTTCTTTCAAAACGCAAAGGTCTCCCTACCATCTCTAAAAGACTCCTTTCTTTAATCCCTACCTTTACTATCCAGAGAAGCTTCTAAAAGGAATGCTCTGTATCCACAGATCCAATACTCTCACAGTCCATTCACCTCTTTAATCCCGATGACTGCTTTCTGCTCCTCCCTTTCCACTAAAACTCCTGATCTGGGCATTAAGAGCCTCTCCAGCCTAGCCCCGGGATACCTCACCCATGCAGCCCAGGCCCTCATGGCTCCCAACAATCAATCTGGCTCATAAATCTGGCTCCATACTTCAGCATTCCCAATCAAGAACCTTCGCAATTTGGCATCGGGGCTCTTTCTGGCTTTGATTCCCATCAATCTGACATAAAAGCTCTATGCTCTCTATTTGGCCCAAATTCACTCATTCATTTATTCTAATATTATTGAGTGCCTGCCAAGGGCAGGAAGTATGCTAGATATTAGAAAAACGATGGTATATAAGATAGACATGGTCCCTGCCCTCGTCGAATTTACAAGAGAGTGCAGGGGACAGATATTGACATAATCATGCTAATAAATACATAATTATAATCTGTGATCAAAGCAATAAAGGAAAGATACGAGGGGCCCTGAAAGTATATAACATGGGTAGCCTGATCTAATTTGGAAGAACAGGGAGGAACAAGGCTCTCCAAAAGTGATATTTGAGCTGTCATCTGAAAAATGAGTAGGCACGAACTAGGTAAGGTTTGAGAGGAAGCAAGGGTAGTTCTAGAAGCCAAAAGCAGGCAAGTGTGGCTTTACTACAGAGAAAGGAGAACACAATGAGAGACAAAGCTGAGGAGGTAGTCAGGCAATTTTAGGATTTACACTTTTCTTAAACAAAGCATAGAAAAGGAATTATGAATCAGGAATTATGGGTTCTAGTTTAAGTTTGGTCACTAGCTCCTTTGCAAAAGCCCATCCTGATCTAATGTGCACTAAGGCTAAACATTATGAGTCTTTAATATCATTTTTATGAATTTCTGCTAATATATTTCCAATGTTAAGTAACCTGTGGTACATTTTGAAGTTTCTGGGCCCTATACCACCCTCAATGAACTATAACTCCCCCCACCCAACTTTCTCTACTCTTCTATTTTCCTTCAAAATGTAATTTCTTTCTATTGCCTCTAAAGTGTTTTTAGGTGGAGACAGAATACAAATAGGCTTCGGAAAAGTAAAAATAAAAATGGAAATAGCATATCCCGCAGTACTCCTACTCTACGTTCACTGCTGTCAAATGCATCATTAATAATACCACTTTTAAAAAATACGTTTGGAAAATTTAGCTGGCTCTGATATTTTTTCAACCAAAAGGCAAAATGAGTCTCAAATATGAATTATTCAAACTACTGAAAGTTGCACAGATAATCTAAGACACTGGAAAATCAAAAGACCTTTATATTTGCCTTGGAACATATGTGATTTTTTCCTCCTGCAGCATTTTGCCTAGACTAATATTAAAATGAATTTACTTTCCTAAAGCGCATGTTGGCTGGGCAGCCGAAGGACATGCTCTGTGCTACTTGGCAGGAAGAAACAGGCTTGGATTAACCAGACTTATAGGGAGCCCTGGGTTAAAGATTCCATTTGTAATAAGACCTGCTTGTTTAGGTGAATCCTGTATTCATTCAAAAACACAGAACATGACTCATGCAGAGAAACCTGTCATCTAACACTGTTGATTACCTTGAGAAAAAGCAGCTTAGCGGGGACGTTACCGAGAACAAAATATAAATCCAAATATTTCATTTCATATTTTTTTCCAAGGATGTCTTCTCTATTATTAAATATGAACACATATAAAATTTTGTTCATTAACAGAAAAATAGCACACTTACATTTAGTCGCCAGTGCAATTTAGATTCAGAATCTGGTAAAACTTTAACCAGATATTTTCACTAAACTAGAATCTAGTTTCTGTTCTAATTAATCTGGCACCACTACCCATGGTCATGGAAGCACAGAAAATTACCCACTGTTAGCATATCCTCATAAAGCAAGACTTAGGTGATATTTTTTAATTCATAGAGAGATCACTGGACAAAAGTGATTTTCACAGTGTCCACTATTAAACCTTCTAAAAGCAACAAAGTATGGTCTAATTTGAGTTTCTCTCTTCTTTCTTTTCTAGCTTAAGCTCTAATGGAGGTGTTAATGAGCCTTAGACTAATGGCCAAAAGCCAGACAATGGCAAAAAAGCAAAGGATCTAGACAATTTAAATTGGACAAAGGAGTCCATGAATCAAAAGTGAACTAATTCATTCCAGCCACTGAATATACATTTTGAGGCAATATTTGAACCACACAACCAAAACTACTTATGACTGTTAAAGTAGTGCCCCCTGTCTAAAAAAAACTAACGGTGAACTTGTAAGAGAACCATTAAAACACTCAAACGATAAAGTAACAACAAAACTCTACTGTCCGGTGTGACTTGTGCTCTCACCGGATCCAGCTGGGCCACTCTGTGCCTTGTCCAATCAATAAACTGGGTTCTATCAGATTAATGGCAGGTAGGTAAATGCACTAGAAATGAGCCACAGCCCTAAGAAGCACAGATTTTGATAAAAGGTAAGACTATGGGGCACTCGATGTGGGTTAAACTGGTCCATACAGCATGTTCTCTGGTCTCTATTTTATCTTAGGAAGGTCCAACATTATCTTCCCATATAACTTCTAAGTTGTTAAAATCACACATTTAAATATGATCGTTTCCACAGTCACCTCGGGTACAGGAGTTTAAAAGTATCTGCAGAGATGTGTAAGCTTCCATAAACATCTTCAAAGTATATGCATACATTTCTATTATTAAGTAAATCATGATTAAATCTTATTCTTTGTCACATATTCACTATGAAATGTTCTTGCCATGACACATGTAACATTAAAAATGTTAAAATCACTGAGATAAATCTAACGAAAATGTTAAAATAAAACCAAAAAGGTTAGATTAGCAGTCACATTAACACTGACACACTGGGCAAGAAAATTCATGGAAGACTTTTTCCTTTTCTTTAGGAGAAATAGGCTATCACTTAATCTTCACTACGTGACTAGCAGCCCTAAAAATTCCTTTATTTTCATGCCACAGGTAGTCTTATTCCCAAAAGGAGGAGGAGCAGAACAGGAGTTCCCAACATACAAAATGAATCAAAGCACCATGCAAAGATACGAGGTGTGATCAAAAGATACAGTGAATGTTCAAAAAATTACAGTAAAAGACACATTGCCATTAATCCCCCTCAAAATACTCCCCCTAGCTTCAAACACACTTATCCCATTGTTCTTGCCACTTTCTGAAGCAGTTCTGCAAGTCATCTTTCGTGAGTGTCTTTAGGTGTGCTTTCGTGGCTGCCTCGATGTCCTGAATCAATTCAAAATGTTTACTTTCCATGGTCATTTTGACTTTGGGGAAGAGCCAGATGTAGCATGGTGCCAGACCTGGTGAATAAGGTGGATGAGGACACACTGTAATATTTTTATTTGACAGAAATTGCCGTACCAGAAGTGATGTGTGACATGGAGCCTTTCTGTTGTGATAAAATACAGTGAGTGCTGCTGCCAAGTGGCATCCAACGGAAAGGCAGGGATCCTCAATATGGGAATCGGTGCATCGAACCTTAATAACAGTGTGACAAGTTTCAACTTGATCGGTGCAGTCAGCTGGGTGTCAGCTATGGTTGAGAGAAGGTGTGTTTTAAAGCGTGCCATAAATCATCCTCCATCATGACAACACTCCGTGTCACACACGGAGTGCTTTTGGTATATGGCAACTTCTGTCAAATAAAAACATTACGGTGTGTCCTCATCCACCTTATTCACCGGATCTGGTACCGTGTGACTTCTAGCTCTTCCCCAAAGTCAAAATACCATGAAAGGTAAACGTTCTGAATCAATTCAGGACATTAGGACAGCCATGACAACACAACTAAAGACACTTATGAAAGAGGACTTCCAGAACTGCTTCAGAAAATGGCAAGAATGATGGAATAAGTGTGTTCAAAGTGAGGGGGAGTATTTTGAAGAGGATTAAGTTCAATGTGTCTTTTACTGTAGTACATTTTTTTAAATTCAAACATTCACTGTATTTTTTTATTACACCTCATATACTTCTGAGCTGTGATCAAATTCTTGATGTTTATAAGGACTAAATGCAGAATGACATAATTCCTGCCTTGTGGTGACTATGGTCCCCAAGTTTGCTTGGCAGAGATTTCAGAATTTTCATTTAGTAAAAAATATTATATACTATTTCTTTGGGCAGCAGTTGGCACACTAGACACAAATTCCAAATGGGTCCATACTCAAACTTTACATTTAATTTGTACTTCAAAGATGTCAGGTTTTAAAGGTTATTATCTAGTATGTAAACTTTAGGGCTGGCCGAGTGGCTCAGTTAGTTAAGAGCTCACTCAAGAGTGCGAGCTCTGAGCAACAGCAGTTTGAGTCCCAGCCCGAGCTGAGCTGCCGCTGAACTGCCAACAGGTGGCAGGATAGCTCAGCTAAGAAAAAAAAAAAAAGAAAAAAAGAAAACAAAAGGAAGTGTTAAAGCCCATGTTTTCTTTGCAGAGTGGGGCGGGGGGAACAAATTATAACAACTTAAATGATTAGATAACATCTACTAATGATCTGATACTTTCTCTACTCCCTGAAAGGTATAAAATTTGTTTCCTTAGCTTCCTTATCAAGTAGATTGTTATCTTTGGCAATAAAAACCAGAACACAACTATTTCCTGTCTTTGTCCCCATTTCTAAGAATATAGATATCTGATCAATGAAAATACATTGAAGAGAGAAAAAACTTTCAGCAAAAGCAGGATCCAATTTTTACATATCAGAAATAAATCATATTTAAAATCTCAGTTGTAGACAAAAATATCAGCAATATTAGTATCCAAGGTATCCCCAAAATCTTAGTACAGTCTTAAGTTTTAATATCCTTGGAAGCCCAGATGCTACAAACTTACTAAAAACATCATTTAAAATTTTAATTACTTGAATATTTTGACACTTTGTTTTGTTAATTTTGAGTAATGAATTTCTTTTTAACATATTATTTGAGCCATATTTGGTTTGTTAGTGCACTATGAGGAGTTGTATAAAACAAATCTCTCTAGTGTAAGGGAACTCTTTTGTGTTTCTGGGTCAGAAGTGCCCTTCATCATCAATGCCAATGATCCCAGGGCTCTCATACCAGTCACAGTTCTTTGGAGAATGGGAGCTGTGGCAACAGAAATAGATACCTCACAACAGCCACCATTGTTGACAGCTTAGGTTGTGCTGCTCAGAGGAAGAAACATCTGAACAAGGGCAGGGGGCCCTTGGTAAATACCATGCCTTCTCTTTCTTATTTATTTGCGTAAACCTGCTTTTATGTCAGCTTACGACAATATTTTTTTTTAATCACCTTACTCTGTCTATATGTTTCTAACTTGGCAAAATTCTTTCATATCTTTTACCTACCTTGGTTACTTGGTTAGTAACTGGGTAAACAAATCTATTTATAATGTCATGTGCCTATATTAAAACACACTTTACCACAAAAGTGATATGCAGTTTCCAGTAAGTATAGAGTTTCACCCAGTAGTCCTCTTGACAAGCTTTAGAAGATTTCTCTTTGCAATCATCTACATACCTGGAAAGGCACTCTATACCAAAATTAGCTCACTGAGCTACCAAGGACAGACAGAGATGAGAGAGAAGAAAGACTATGGGGCTGAAAATAGCTAGAACAACCTAAAAGGCATTTGTTCCAAGGTTAGAACAGTACTGATCAACACGTCTAATAAACTAGAATACTCTGACTTCTTGGTCAACCAGAAGTACAAGCTATCTTCCACAAAACATGGAATAAATGATTTCAAAAGAAGGAATTGTTAATCCTTATACCTTAAATGGCTTACACAATTCTTCCATTTAGAGAACACCATCCTTTCAAAGTGAATGCCCTCAAAAAATAAATAATAAAGGGAATGCCCTCGTGGGCTCTTAAAAAAAACCCTCAGCGATAAAACTCAGGGAACAGAGAGTTCATACACAACCATGTCTAAAACATGGATGCTTAATGAGTTGATTAGAATGTACTTAAAAATTTCAATTACCTGGCCACTGCTGTTATCCTTTCCCCTTCCTTCCAATGTATCTGTCAGTATCCAAGGGCTCAAGTTCAGGTACAGGAAAATAAGTTAACTTTAGCACAAAAGCACTGAAGGGCCTTAAGTCAGACACCTAAACTAGGATGAGCGAGACCATACATATATATATATATATATACATACATATATATACACACATATATATATGTACATATATACACACACACACACATATATATACACATATATAAATATATATATGTATATATATGTGTGTGTGTATATATATATATATACACACACATATATATATATGAATAGACCATAGGAATACATATATATATATGAATAGACCATAGGAATCAGGAAGTGTTACTATAAAAATGAAAGCCCAGCATCACGATGGAATACCCCAAAATTTTCAAAAATATTTTATAACAACAGATAATGCTATTTAGAAAATGCCATGCTGAAGAGAATGCTGGTATTCTCTGCTAAGTCACGGAATTAAAAGTACAAATTGGCAGTTACAAAACAGTTATGGAAATGTAAAGTAAAGCATAGGGAATATAGTCAATAATACGGTAATAACTATATACGAGTATAAGTGCAGGTGGGCACTAGACTAGTCAAGGGGATCACTTCTTAAATTATATAAATGTCTAACCACTAACTGTATACCTTAAAACTAATATAAAATAATACCAAATGTCAACTGTAATAGAAAAAACTTTTAATTGTAAAAAAAAGGGTAAGTACAAAATACAGGCAAAGCAGCTATAATCAGTGCATCATTACCCAGAGCAACCCAGAAGCCCTCTCTCACACCATCCAGCTGTTGACTCTCTCACACCATTAGCACCTACTGAGAGAGGCTGACCTAATGGAGAGAGGGATGAAGGTAAAGCTGCCAAAAAGATACACATTTCCAAAGAAGTACTCATGACTCTCAAATAATCTGCTTTTTCACATCATCTACACTTCCACGGAGATCTCTCCTCTTTGGCGCATGGAGAAAAAGCTGAATATATTTTCAATGATCCCAATATACTTTTGATGTCTCTTTTTAAATAGATCATACCCTAATATCATTTTGATTTTATTTCACTTTTTTACCATGAACTGAGATCAGACAATTGTGCAGCCTCGGGAGACAGCATATTGGTAGTGCCTTGAAAGAGCCTCTTGGGCTGGCTTTCAGTCTCCATTTCACCTAAAACAGAAAGAGAGGATGCTAACGTAAAACAATTTTACAGGCTTACTACTAAAGTGGGTTGATCTTTGTTTAACCAAAGCTCAGAATACTTCTTTAAGCTGCTACCTGAAAGATATTCTTCCATGTGCTTTAATGTAGAAGAAATATACGTCCACATAACCTCAACCAAAAAGTCAGCAACCCTAAAAATACCTTTTCATTCATTGCATATAGCATGCTATGGATATAGTCACGTTCTTTAATACAACAGTAGAACACTGATTGCATCAGGCAAAATGAATCAAGGCTAACTACATAGAAATAAAGTATCTCCAAATAGTTGAAAGTCACAGTGTAATAATTTATGCTAGATGATTAGTAAAGACCGTTGATTTATATATTTTAATATCAGAACATTTCCTGAGTTGAAGTCAAATGGGTTAACATGTTCTCAGTCTGATAAAGAGCGTACAAAATCAAAGGTTGCTTAGGCTACTAGTGAAAGTGAAGATTAAAACCACAGTCATGGGCCGCGTAACAATGACACTTCAGTCAATAATGGGCCAAACCGACCCATAAGATTACAATGGAGGTGAGAAATCCCTATAACCTAGTGAGGCTGCAGTGCATTCCTCATGTATTTGCAGTGATGTTGGTGTAAACAAACCTACTGCACTGCCAATCATATAAAAGAATAGCACATACAATTATGTGCAATGCATAATATTTGATGATGATAAATGACTATGTTACTGGCTACGAATTTACTCTACTATACTTTTTATCATTACTTGAGAGTCTACTGTTTCTACTTATAAAAAAAGTATGCTGTTAAGCAGTATGCCATATTACTCTGGCATCAGCCTCATCCATCTCATGTTTAGTGTGTCTCATGGTTGCATCATTTTCTCTCATGCTTGACTTGATCTCATGTTGTTTTGTAGCGTAACACGCTGTCCAGCCTTGTAGCCTAGGAGCAACAGGCCACACCATACAGCCTACGTGTGTGGCAGGCCGTACCACCTAGGTTTGTGTAAGTGCACTCTGATGTTCGCACAATGACGAAATCGCCTGATGCATTTCTCAGAACGTACCACCGTTGTTAAGGGACACACGGCCGAATAACTTTGAAAGCATATCCATAACTAAAAGCATGTATTAATTCTCAAAATTGGTATTTTACCGGCTACCTCAAGCCTACAGATTTTCTCAGAACCAGTGACAGAAAAATTTGCATCAAAGGAATAAAGCTTAACATTTGCCACCAGGAGTGCAAAGACTAACAACCCTAAGTTAGGCAGAAAAACTCCTTTTCCAAATAAGCTATGATTTAAAAATGCCTTGGTTTTGAAGCTCTTTATCTGAGCCTTAAAATGGGATATTAAAGAAAATTTAAGTCATAGACCTATCTATATTCCGGTATGAAATTAGTAACTGTAAACGTAAACCTGTACAAGATTTTTATGATGGAAAAAGATCAAGCAAAAAACAAATACAACATTCATTTTTTTCCATATTATCAATTAATTAACATTACCTTTCCTCTGGAGCTATTCTGAATACTACTAAAATTCAGGAAAGGTTATATTTTTATTTGCCTTTTCCAACTTTAATACGCAGCTTTTAAAAGCTGCCGCTGGGCTTTCAACAACAGCTCATGAGCAAAAAACGCTCAGGTTCTGTTTAGCAAAGAATCCCTCCATCTGCTGGTGTATTTTGGAATAGCTCTGAAACGAAACAACCATACTAATTCCACCAATTTCCCACAACAAATTTTAAATTCATAATAATGACAATAATAATAGTTTGAATTTCCATGTGTTATTTTCACATAATAGCTCCTGAGAAGATTCTTAGGACTGTAAATAATTCCTTAAAGAATTAATGAAAAATACTGGTTTATAATATAAAATGTATTCACTCAATGCAAATATTGTCACTGTATCAGGATCTAGTTCCCAGAACATACCATCTTTAATTTTAAGTTGACTGAAATATAGCATTTTTGAATCTGTATATGATGCTATCACTGGAAAATTTTCACCAAAGCCGTCAACTATCTGAGGAGAGCTGATTTAACTGGCCCTGAAGGTGATCTGCAAAAAGAAACCACTTATTGAATTGCTTTCTTAAAATTATTGCTAAAAGTCTTATTTAAAATGACATCCAACACTTGTAGTCATGTGGTCATATCCCCAGAAATAATGATTAAAACTGTCTTAAATTTCTTTCTTTGCCTTTTTAAAAAACAGACTCCATTAGGTGTCCTCCATAAGAATCTAAAACTAGCACTGAGTAAGATCATTTTCGTTTAGTGCTTTGTGGTTCAAAAGAAGTTAATTAAAAGAGCACCCCCATTATATCAAAACCCTATAGACTTGAACAGGAGGCAGTTCTCTCTTTGCCAAGGTGTACTATGGGGGTGGCTTATATTTGAGCATACAGCATGTTCATAGGCCTATTTGCTATGACATAAGCATATATTTCTGCAACATATCAACTTGCATCTCTTTTATATTCAGATCACTGAGAGGCAAAGTTTTTGGAATATATATTGACAATATGAATATATGAATAAGATTCAGTTATGAGGTATAAAAATATAGACAGTATCAAATAACTAATTTACGAAAATTAGAATCAGTAAAGCGGACATTGGGAAGAGTATCACACATTTCCTTAGGAAAAAAAGAGTCATGCCTTAAACTAATTTCAGACAGAAATTCTAATTGGAAATTCAAGTTCGACTAGGTTTAATAACAGAAATATCAATGTGATGCTTACCTTTTCTTTTAACAGGACCAAGAACACTGGGCTTAATGCACTTCACTGGACTCCGATGCCTCCTGCTTCAAAGAATAAACAAACAGGATGACATGAAGTACTTCTGAGATGCAAGATAAACATTACAGCCCACCAAATAAGTCAGTAAAATTGATATTTATCTAGGGAGACATGGAAAATGCCTGTATTGTAAGCTGAGTAACTGAAATGCCAATACGTGATCTGAGTTGGCATAGGCAATCTCGAGTAACACGGAATTTTAAGCTATCTTTTTTTATTCTTTTTTCCTTTTATATTTTAAAAGCTATCTTTTAACATCATTCCATGACACAAAATATCCACAACAGGTTTTTTTTTAAAGATAAACCTTATTAAAGAGTTATTTGGACTTGACAGGTCTACAATCTTAAACAATTTTTTTCCCTATAAAGGACATATTATGAGGTGTGTGTGCGCGTTCTCTGAATATAAACTGGCACTAAGTCTCAAAAAATGAATCTGTTAAAATGTTAATGGTAGAACATAGGTGATAGGTATATGGATGGTCACTGTGAAAACCTTTCAATTTTTCTGTCTGTTTCAAAATTTCCATAATAAAATGTCAGGGAAAAAATTCCTCAGAGAGACAATTTTAATAAGCAGCATTTCAACCACATTTGAAAAGCAGGTTCACCTACCTGGAAAAGCGTCTCGGAGTAGGAATTCCGGGACTTGGTGGTAGCCCACTGCTGCTCACAAACATTTGTAAGGATGGCGAAAAACATTGCTAGAAAAACATATTTAATATTAAAATAGGTCTAGTGCTCCGGTTTTCAAAAGATTCTTCTCAAAATGACAGAAACAACATCCTTAGAACTGGTTAGCTGCCTATGTGTCTCTCATATACATATGAATATGTACATATTAATTTTTTCCCAAATTACTATCATAGACTTTTATTGATTTTCCTTCCAGTAATTGGATCCTTTAAAAGTGAAATGATGTGTGTGTGTTTTGGAGAGTAAACAGCTCAGTATGTGAAAGAGTTAATACCGTATCAATGAGCTTACCTTTCCAAATCCTCTGGTGGGTGATGGTGCCGGAGAAACTGGAGTGAAGTCGATCCTTTTAGGAGAATATAATTTCTCCGGCTTGTCAAAATCACTATCACTCTGTAAACATAAAGTGTTATTTCCTCATAATTCACAATTCAGCACATCACAGCTCTTCTTTACTACTCAAAACACACCTACATTTTTAGAGTAGAAATGTTTAGCCTCTAATTGCAATAGCATACTCTGGTGGAAAACCAGAGATCAAAAATGAATATAAATTTGAAAACAGAAGGAAGAGAAATAGAGGGAAAATATTAATAAAGCCAATGAACAATATAAACGCTTCTAGAAAATAAAAACACAAGCAAACATGAAAACTTTACCAGGCTCAAACTCTCATCCCAAGACTGGCTGATCTGCATTACTGTTTGCACTTCCCTAAAACAAACAAAAATGAAAGGCCATCAGTTCTCAGAAACAAGACATAGGCTGTGCCCGGGTCTTGTGAAGTGCTAACCTTTCATGTGCAGTTTCTCTATTCATCAGATCCATGCCTTCCTCCTGCAAAGACAAACGTGCTTGAAAACAGAACATTTGTCCACACAGTTCTGTATTTGAAAGAAAAGAAAAAATACTTTTCTTCCTGATTGGACATAATCACAGTACAGCAGAATGAACATTCTAAGACTGTCAGCCATGCCACATCTGTATTTTATATGAACACTCAGAAGAATTTCAATCTGTCTACAACTAACCAGTTGCAGCCTGATGCATTTTTGCTATCTAAATCTTCCAAACGAGAATAAAATCAAACTGTAAAATTCAGAAAATTGTGGCTCTGCGCTAGAAAGTAAGATTTACCCTTTTGAGTTGGTGCAGGCGGCTAGTAGGAATCCGATTAGGTAAGGGTGACAGCAACTGGAAAGAAAAAGTAAACATTTACTGTTTTTTGAATCACAAAGCAACAATCTGCTGTCAGCACTAGTGTACAACCTCTTTCTAGATAATTTTTCATATTCTTCTTAGAAATCTCGCTCTTTAAATTACTGAACATTAATGCACTAGAGGCAGTACATTCAGTCTTTAGAAAGTACACCAGGTGTCCAACCTCAAGGCACCATCTGTCGCTAGACAGGCTCCGACTTTAACATTTTTCCCAAATGAATGCAGAGCTGTGTACATTTATATAAAAAAAGACTCCAGGCCTTGGAAATATCCATTACCCCACTAATCTAAAATAAGAAACTATAGAAGAAGGGAAAGAAAAAAACGATTTTACTCATTTTTATTACCAATAGACCAAGAGAAGACAGACTGAGGAGCCCAGTATAATGTTGTGTCTATGATTAATGTTTATCAAAAATACTTTAAAACTGGGGCTGGCCGAGTGGCGCGATGGTTAAGAACTCGCTTGGGATGCCAGAGGGCCCCGGTTCGGATCCCACATATGAGGGCCAGTGACACTGCCCTCCACAGCTAAGATGCTGAACAACAGCTCAACCTGGAGCTGGGCTGCCGGGAGTCGCCAGCTACGGTGTAGGCTGCAGCCCCTGTGGCAGTGGGTTGCCATGGGCTACCGTATGTAGCCAGCAGCCAGCGTGAGCGGCCAGCAGCCGCAGTGAGCGGCCATCCAGAAGCCGGCGACTGATCTGCCTCGCCTGGGAAGAGCGCAATGATGGTGCCAACTTGGGCCAGTGAAGCAGTGTCCTCCACAACTAGATTGAAGAACAAAACGACAGCAACTTGTCTGTTCCCCTTCCCCTAATTCCCCAGCACTGTTCCCATCCCCCCAATTACCCAATAAAAATCTTTAAAAAAAAATACTTTAAAACTGCAATAAATAGATTTTGCCTGCATGAGCTAAACCATTTCTAAAATTTGATCACTAACACTATCACCACAAACCTTACTGGTTAAGAAAAATCAATGTGGAAGACAAGGTGTAGCTTTAGAGTAACTGTTGCTTTCCCTTAGATCACCATTTTTTAATAACACAAAACTGAAATGATTTGGGGGCCAAATTATGTTCCTTTAAAATAGTTACAATCTGATCACAAAATGCAAGGTACGATTCCTATCAACAGATCTTGCAAGGTTTTAATAGCCATAATGTAAACAACTACTGTTTATTCCCTAATGAAATGCAAATGAAACTGTAATACTATAAACCTCAATAAGACAATTATCCTGTTATAAGAGGCCCTATCCTATTAAAACTTGCTTGAATACTAATATAGTGAGTGGTATAAAATGGTGATAAACTGTTCTAAGTTGTTTGGGCAAAAGCTAACTCAGGTAAAAGGGTAACTATTGCATTGTTCTGTACACCTGAAACTAACAATAAAAAAAAAAAGCTAACTCAGGTAAAAAAAAATTTTAAAGTTATCCACTGAAATATGATTTTACCTTGAAAGATATCTCTTCCTTACCCACCCCTTTCTTTGACTTTTTCCTCTCCTAGGTTTTGAAAAGAGAAAAACTTTACCAGTAGAATCCTTTTTAAAAGTATTTTTTTTCCTACCATGAAAGTAATACATGTTTACTGGTGAACTCTTAATCAGGTCATCTGAAAAACACTAAACTACTAAACAAGCCAATAAGGCAGGAAAGATTCTAACAGGAGCGTGTGGAGGAGAGCATGGATGTGTCCCTCAGAGAACAAAAGAAACCCCAAAGGCAGTGAAATAATCGGAAAAGCCAAAGTGAGGATTGCCCAACCCTGATTGTGGAGAAAGTCAGACATTTAGATGCTGCACCTACATAATGTACAACTTGTCAATCTTAGACAGAAATGGAAAGTAGACCTGAAAGGGGGACGGAGGAGCCGCACTGTGTCTAGTTCCAGCAACAAGAGTAACACATAGGCTGAGAAAAAAAGCCAAGGGGCACTGGTAAATGGTGTTAAGTGAAGCAAAGCGCTCAAAAAGGATAAGAAAAGAGGCCCGACATTGACAAGCAAGGCGGCTTTAGCGACTTTGCAAGAACAGCTGTTTAACTGAGTTGTGGTAGGAGTAATGAGATTACAAACTGGCCAAATACTTGGCAAGAAATTAGGAGACAAGGAATTAGAGGCAGTTGAGTGTAGATTAGCTTTGAAAAAAAAAACTCAGGAAGGGGAAGGAAAAAAAGGGGAAGGAGAGACCTACGAAAAAAGAAGAGTTTGTTTTCCAGATAGATGTGTGAGTTGGGAGAAGGAGGTGGGAAGAAAAGAGCCGGTGAAGAACAGAATGAAGAGACATGACAGAGAGACGACAGGCCGACCCAAGTGACAGGAGAGTCAGAAAAATATATGAACCATTAGGAGAAAACACCACATGTGAAGGTAAAGACATTTAAGCTGTCGTGTATGCAAGATACGTGTCTGCCTTCTCTGTGCAGTGAGAAGGGTCATCTGCTGAAAGTGAAAGGTCATCACAGATAGGAAGCTTGCAGAGTTTTTTAAAAGATTTAGAATGTTGCTTTGGAAAAGGGCATGTGGCCAGTGGCCCCTTGAACTCAATATGCCCAGAAAGAATTTATCTTCTATCCCTTCAAAGGACCAATTCCTGTCGATTTCCCAACTCATAATAAAGGCAACACTTTTCCCCTCATTACCAAGAAATAAAAGTGCAGTCACTTTGAGTCCTCTTCTTCTTGCGTTTATATCTAATCAGTGGTCAAATCATGAACATCCTACTTTTGCATGTCTGTTTCTTCAGTCCTGTCCTTTGACTTCATCCATCAACACCTTACCTTCTGTAGGTTAATACAGCACATTAAGATTTCCAGTGTACACTGTGAAATACTGTATCTGGTGTAATCGATACTATGATGGAAGTACCCAAAGAGTGCTGTGGAAGGTTTTTGACACCGGAAAGCTAGAAAGGAGAAAGGGATGGGTTGAAGGGTAGCATAAGGATCAAAAAAGGGCAGGAATCAACAAGACCCCTTCAGCAAAGTAGGTATTTTAGTGCAACCAGAGCCTAGGGTATTTGTCAGGGAGCGGTGAGAAGCGAGTCTAGGCAGAGGTAAGAATCTTCACATCTTAGAAAAGAGCAAAGTGAAGTGTAAAGAGGTAAATACATTTTCCCTTCTTTGCTATGCTACTGACGCAGAAAGATTTTTCATATATACAGCAGAAAAAGTACTTATATTTTCCAGGATCCTCAGAGAAAGGAGGTGAAGTGAATCAAACCTCCAGATAGCTAACGTTTTCCCCTTTAAGTATTTTTAGCCACTTCAGCTGGAAGTCTTTCTTAAAAGTGTGATATTTGTCCCCTTGTTAAACAGATTATACCAAACAGAATGGCACTGAAAGATCTCTATTCTAATCCCAGCTCTGCCACTTACTAATTGTGTGATTCTGAGCAAGCCACTTATATCAGCTAAGTCTAGCTGCTGCCTCTTTTAATTGGGAAAAACATCTTCTGCTCTGCCTACTTCATTGGGGTTGCTATGACATTAAATGTGTGAAAGTACTTTGTAATATGTAAAATGTCATACAAGGGTAGATATTACTATAATTTAAGAAAAGGTGGAAAGAAGACCCAGGTGTCCATAAGAACATCAATTATTTTACACTTCTATGCCACTGACACTTCAGGGTCCATTAACACGTTCTTAGCCCTTATCCTCAGCCACAGACAAACTTTTTTTAAAAATCTCCGTCTGCTTTTCTGTTGTTCCCTCTCCTGCCTTGCTGGCAGTTATTAGTATACCTTTAACCCAAATGTACCTCTTCTGATTTGCTACTTCTCACACACTACTGGGTTGGAAGCTTATTATAATTGTGCATAAATTTTACATGATTCAGAGGTCAGAGAGGCTCTCATATAAATAAACTGATGAACCTTTGTGCACAGACTATGGAAATCTAGTTCAGCCATTTAGAGAGAGGTCTGTTTGCTTACATCTCAGATGTCTTCCAGAGCACTGCAGTTACTGGATAAGTGGGCTGCCCATGTGAAGTGCTGCTATATAAAAACCTCATCATAATTTCTCCCAACACAACCAACTAATAAGGTGATCCCCGACAGCTCTGGCTATATAGAACAGTCACGATCAGCAACTCTACTGAGAATACAAATACAGCATTTTAAAGGAGTCTTTCTTTGGATAAACAGCTTTGGCCAACAGAAATAAATACTCTGTTACCATTTATGTGATTTCTTTTTCATCATAGGACAAATAAAGACCACTGTTCTAAGTTAGAATTAGAAGTTAATCCTGACTTACCTCACAATAATGATGCAAGCAGTGACACAAAACAATGAACAATTTTTAAAAATACAAAGTCACACAGCCAAGAAATGTTTTTAACCAGGTCTCCTCTTTTGCACTGAAAGCTGAAAATGGCCACAGCATTAAGCAGCAAAACAAGAGAGGTAAAATCTTTTTTTTTCTATTGTAAACAATTGTACATAGCACATCATCTTAAGAAACAACTACATCTGAAAGTGTTTCCCCCAATTAAAACCCCTATGGATACTTACTCCCATACTTACGAGGTTGTGACGGCTCATAATCGTTGTACTATTCCTCCGAGTTTTAAATGTGTAAGGCTGAAAAACCTGCGAAAGGTCACTGAAAAAATAAAAATAAAATGATTAACTTCTTTTCATATAAGATATCCTTTGCCTATATTCATGCCAATTCTCCAGTTAACAATAAAATCTTCGATGGCTCATTTCAGACAATGAATACACTCACCGTCCTCTTCAGAGCTTCCCGAGTGATGGGTGTGCTGTGGATTACAGGTTGGCCAAGATACTGATCTCAGTGGTTGGGGGACAACTAGGAAAGGTATGGGGCGGAGCTCCAGACTGGTTGCCTCCAGCTGCTTCTTCTCAGAGCTCATTCCCCCCCACCCCTGCCCCGCCCCGCCCCACCAACTGGTTCCCACCAGTCACAAATGAGCAGCCTCAACTGTTTACCCCAGAAGACCTACAAACAGTACTGCTTTCTGTGAGTGCCATGACGTGACATGGGCTGGGGAGCCCTGTTCTGCAGTATGAGCCCCATCAGCATGGGGCCCTAAACACATGCTCTACCTTTGAACCCCACTGTCCAGCTAAATGAATGTACCTGGAAGTTTGCTCATGTTGCCCCTTTTGCATCAAATGCCCTCCCTTCAACCATCTGTCAAAATCCTTCCTCTCCCTCAACACCCATCTCAAATGCCATACCCCCATGAATCTTCTTTCCACTTCACAAACCTAATGCATCTTTCCCTCCTTCGAACCCAAAGAGCACAATGCGAAATAGATGCTTCCCGAGACACTGACTTTACCTTTCATTAAAGAAAACTAAGCATGTGTCTTAAACCCCTTGGTAGAGGTGTTTTGTTCATCTTTGTACAATGTCATGCAGTGCCCAGCAGAGTGCCGTGCCCACGAAAAGAGATCATGAAGGATTTTCAGGTTTGGGATCATGGAGATCGCCTAATGCAGCTCTCCTACATTTTAAATGAGAAAACAGAGACTCAGAAAGGCTAAGTGACTCATTCATAATCATAACCAGTCAGGGAGAAAATTAGGACTAGACCTGGTCTCCTCACCCCTTCTTCTGTCACCATGTTACCTTTCAAGTAATTACTTAAATCGTGATTCAAAAAACAGCATGTTATTTCTACAGTAGTCTACATGCAGGTCAACAGGATCGCCCTAGTCCCTAGTCCTAGCAATTGCTTGCCTACCAGATTTAAAAAGACCAGTTTATTCCTATAGTATCAGAAATAAATGTAGAACAGAGGATAGCATTGGGAAAGTCACTCCATCATTCCCTCAGTTTCAAAATTTAATAAAAGAAAAAAGTAAACCCATGTTTCCCCAAAATGAGAATATTGTAATCAGTTTGATAGACAAGGATTACCTCTTTCTTTGCCTTCCCTGTGCTTGATTAATGTTTCTGGCTAACTCCAGCCCCATCCCCTTTTTTGGACTATTTCCATTTCTACAGGGTCTCACAAATTGGCTCTCTACCTAAGATGAATTGTCTACATATAAAAGTGAAGTGGAATAGGCTCAGGAGGTCTGCCAATGTAACCTTCACTATCACAAGATTCTACCTTAAAACAGACCCTCTGGTGACTTATTCACATGAAAACACAAGACCCTACTACTAAAAGTCAAGGGTAGATTCTTCCTATTGTTTTCTAAAACCTGTGTTTTCACTGACCTATGCTACATGCCACCCTTCCTTCTTTATTCACTGGAATGCATTTCAGGCAATTTTAGGATTTGCAAACATTACGACAAATCCAAAACACTTAATGGGACATGAACACACCATTTAATTTCAAGTTATTAGATAAACTGTGGTTTATTCAACTAAACCTCTCTTAATGCCTGAGTTCCTAAACTAAGCTTAGAAATAGCAGCTATTAGAGACAGGTGTCAAGTTGCAAGTCTAGTTCCAGGGGCTTCGGTCTGACATTCAGTGGTGTAAATTAGGCAGGGCAGGCAACCTGTTAGAAGAGCCAGAAGCTTCTTGTAGTTCCTTTTAGAGTGGGCCAACAGAGCTCCAGGTAGAGAGGGCCCTGTTGTCTGCACACTGCCCAGAGTTTGGGGTCAAACTTTCACTCTACCTCAGGACACCAGTCACTGTCAAGCAAACAAGTCCTCATCCCCTCAATTTGTAGAGCCCAAATGAGCTCCAAGTCTCACTTAAAGGGGAGGAAGGCTGCTTGCAGGGGTCCAGGAACCCCTAAATCCCGTTGTCCAGCCTCCCCCACCCTGCTCACCTGAGCCCATGGATCAGGGGAGCGCTGCTGGATCTCCTCAGGGTGCCCCCATCAGATGTGTCAGGCTCAAAGTCCAGCTCCATTTTCTCCTGAGCCATGTCGGAGGCTTGCAGGCAGGCACAGCGGACAGTGCTCAGCTCCTGGTGCTTAGCTATGGACTCTCAACACTCACTGCAGGACTGAACTGCTGGGGACGGGCAGCTGGGGGCGGGGGCTAAGGGGCGGAGGCTTGGGGGCGGGGGCGGGGGCGGAGAAAAGCCAGAGAGGAGGAGGGAAGGAGGATGAGGATGAGGAGGGGAGGAAGCCAGTGAGTGAAGGGAGGAGAACAGAGAGGTTTTGGTGGAGGATGGCAGAATAAAGGAAGAGGGCAGAAGTGGCATGGAAGGAGGATGGACAAGAGCAATAGGATGGGGAAAGGGATAGATGGGGAAGCAGGACAGCAGAGAGGGTAAAAGGCAGAGGACAGAAGGGGGAAAGGAATAAAAAGATAGGGGAAAAGAAAGGCAGGGTGGAGGGAAAAGAGGAGCACGGAGGAGGAAAAGAAGGACGATGTATGGGGAAGAGGAAGGAGAGGAAAGAGGACAGGGGAGAAGAGAAGGAGGGGGAGGAAACTAGGCAGCGGTGGAACTCATGCTGCTTATCTTTTGGCCGACGACCTCCAGCGGGGCCGGGCTACAGACACGGAAGCTGCCCAGGCAGCGCTAGCACCGAGGAGTTGACAGTCGGGCAGGGCCCGGCCAGGCGACCTCGGCGGTTCCAGGTCCCCATGCTTGGGGACCCGGTCCAGCCCCCCATGCTCCGGGACCGGTCCCGGGGGCTCTTCAGCCTTGTGATCGGTGCTTCTCCCCTCCCTACCCCCCACTCCCGCCTGGAAGACAGGTGGGGGTTCGGCCCCTCAGCCCCGCCGCGGTGCCTCCTCTTCCTATCTTGGGTTCTAACGGCCCAGGGGAACCCCTTAGGGCCAAGACCAAAATCTACAACCTGCCGCCACTTGCGCCTCCCACGCTTCAGAAGCGGGAACCTCCGCGGGGCCAAGTCTTCCGCGTTCGGGCACCCATTGGGTCCTGCGCACGCGCCCGGCAGCCGCGCCAATGAGCCCACGGGCACGGAGCATGCGTGGGAGCCCCGCCCCGCACCCCTCCTCCAAAGGGGAGGAGCGTTTTCAGGGGGGCCCCCCGGCGTCTTCCTCCGTGGCATTGGCCCTGGGACCCTGGCGCCCGATTTTGAAAAGAACCAATAGTTTGGAGACACTGGGGCATCATCTTTCAGGAGGCGTTTGAGCCAATATTCAGGGGAAATAGAAATATGCGGGTTCCACGTTATTTCGTTCACAGTTTGTGTGATCTGATTTCTGTGATCCCCACTCGTTTTTTTTCATACCCTTCGATTTTGTTGGTCTTTGTCTGGAGGGGCCGATTCTTATTCAGATGATCGGTTTGGATGCATTACATTAAAGGGAAGTGAAAAAACAAAAGCAATGGTGTAAAAGCAAAGATAATATAATGAGCGTTCATATAGCTAGTGAGAAGCGCTCACCTCCATTTGACAAGCACAGTTAGCTTCAACGATATTAGAAAAAGTCCGGAAGAACAAGTAAGTAGCAGAACCAGAAGTTTTTTTTCTTTCTAGGATTTATGGACCCTAATAATCATGACTAGGCATGTGTGAGATCTGGAATTATTTATTTTATTTAACAGACATCTACATAGCAGTTACCGTGTATTAGGCACGATTCTAAGAACTTTAGAAATATTAACTCATTTCATCCTCACCACTGGAACGACCCTGGGAGAAAGAAGGTAATTGTATTGTGTTCATCATACATACATAGAAAGTGCAGGAAATTTAATAATTATGAAATTCGTTTCAAAATTTAGCAAAACTAGTTTTACCTGCCTCTTCAATTGTCCCATATTAAACTTGTCAAGCCCCTTCGTCATTTTATTCCTCATTGCTTGTTTTCTGTTCATTGTTTATGTTTTCTGCTTGTATTCGAGTTTTTAAAGCACTTTTGGAAAGTTTCCCTTAAGTTGCCCATATTTTCCTGCCAGCTGGATTAGAAATGCAATCTGTTTTTAATCAATTTATGTATCTCTTTATCTCAAGGTCTGTAGCAACCCCCCCACACACACACACCCAACGTACTCTAAAAAATTATAGTACATTTTATTGTTCACAATAACTACTAAACAAACATTTGTTGACCACATGCACAGTCTATAACTCTGAGGACTCAAACAATTTAGTAGAAACCCTAACTCTCATGAGCTTAACAATTAGGACAAACTGAAGGATATGTGAAAAGATGGATACTGCTTTGGTCATCATTTCCAGGTTTTATTCATATCATTCTTGCCTATAGGTTTCTTATGCTTTTCATGTATACTTTTGGGAGGTTTGGGGTGTTTGTGACTGGTGGACTTGGGGTCAAGTTGCTCTTGTGATAACTAAAGGTTAACATGTTGCTTAAAATTTGCCATGGCAACTGGTAAAATAAAGAGCTAATCATGACATGTTTGTGGGACACCCTTTATAAGTAAGAGGTCTGGGGCAGATTGGGACATACAAAGAGAGGGGTAGCATTAGTGTTAAGGTATAGATCTAAGCAAACCAGCAATCTGAGATCATGTCATATTACTATGGGAAGCAAGAGCTGATCATGAAACACAACAAGGTTGGTATAATAATGTGTGGATAGAAATGGGAAGAAGTAAAAATAATTTCTTTAAATGCTGTGTTTGCCAATATAGCATACAGAATGCTTTGTTTTTGTAGTGCCTTGTTCCTTTTGACATTCCAACTTGTCTATGGACCATGAGTTCTGTTTCTATCTTTATGAGTTTTGGGTTCCTGACTTGTAGGTGCACTTTAAAGAGAATTCTTTCTCTTTGATACTAGCTGGAAACTTGTTGTCATCTCATGTATTTAGTTTCATATCACTACTTCCTTTCTAGAAACAGTCTCTTAGTTGCTCTTTCCTTGTTTTAGTATGCCTATTATTCTTAGTGTTACTGTACTTTCAAAATTAGATATCTGGAATGCTTAGGCATGATGAGATTTTTGTCTATTCATTTAAAATATATCCATTAGACCTTATTACCTGCCAGGAATATTGACAAACTTTTGGAAAACTGAGCAGTAGAGTGGAGGTAAAATCTACTTGTTCTCTGGTGTACTCCATTTGTTCCTGTTATTCAGACAGTTTGTTTTTGACCCTCTGTTCTGTATTTAACTACTGCCTACTGCATACACCCTGACTTTAATCATCTTTTTTTTTTTTTTTTTTTTATAGTTTTAAAATTTTATGGGTGTTCGCATTGTGATGAGAAGTAGTCATTTTTAGCTGAGCCATCCTGCTACCTGTTGGCAGCTCAGCGGCTGCTCAGCTCGGGCTGGACTCAAACCACTGTTGCTCAGAGCTCAATCTCTTGAGCGAGCTCTTAACCAACTGAGCCACTTGGCCGGTCCTGACTTTACTCATCTTTAGCTGCCATCTTTCATAAACTTTTGAAGTGCCCTAAGAACTTTAACAGTGGCTTTCAGGAGATCTTGGTACTAGCACAGATTCTACTCCGACCTAATTATGTGCCACTAACCTCTCTGGAATTTTATCAACTGTAAGATAAAAATGATTTGCCTACTTCACAAGATAGCTGTAAGGACAGATTATTTAAACCTGCATTTATTCATAAAACAATTTAATAAGTATTTATCAAGTGCTTATGAGTGCAGAAATAGCGTCCAGAGAAATATCCAGAGGCACCTCGTCTGTCTTTTCACTTAAATAGAAGGCCAGAGGAACCTTGGCTTTGCCGCTTAGTAGTTGTAATTTGAGTAAACCCTCTGGGCTTCGGTTTCCTCCTTTGAAAAATGGTATTGTGATGGCGCCTACGTCACAGTTATTGTAAGCACTAAATTCGATCACATATTTTAAGTGCTTAAGACTACCTGACACAGTGCCTTCAAAATGGTAGCTATTGTTAATCCACCTTACACCAGGAATGATAGATAACTTCAAATCACCCTCATGTCTGGGATTTAGGTAACCTAATTCTTCTTAATATAATTAAGCTTTTTGTCTTCTATTCTCAGAATGAATGAAGAATGATTATGATCTTTCATAACTTGTCATGAACTGTTTCAAGATAATCCCATTTTAAGTTCACCACTGATTAGTTGAGCAGATTTCATGATTGAACCAATTGAAACAAGTATGTGAAAACATTTTTAAACTGTCAAGTGCTATACCATGTTATTACTTTTAATTAATAACTCCCATTTCACTAGTTGCAGTTGATTTCTCTGCAGGTTCTCTATATGGTTCCTAAAATGTGCGGATTTACAAAATTATTAGTATGGAGTTAGGATTTCAGTACTCAGTGTGACTCATTGACTGATGGTGAAAAATTCTAAAAGGGAAGTTCTTAAAATGTTTTGAGCCATGACAACAGCATTGTTAAATGGAAACACTGATTTGGATGGCACTAAATTCTGAGATGTTCGTTTTAAGAAAACAAGCCTCCCCCAAAAAAAGAAAAAAGAAAAAATAGAAACAACAAAAGAAAAAAAAAGCATATTAAGCCTTCCTGCTTTAACTCAAACCTTTTTCTTAAATGAATAGCTTTGAAGAGCTAGATTTTATTCAGTGTAAAAATATATACACTGTATGATATGGCAAAAAAAGTAATGAAACTACATGGAAAACAATGATTCATCTGCACAAGTGATTCAATTGGATTAGCACCTTACCAGGGCCCTTTGGGAGCAGGTGGCATCTAAGCTCTTTGGAGTCGTTTTGGTTTTTTTCTTCCAGGATTTAGCTTTTTAAAAATTACAAATGTGTGGTGTGTCTGCTGTAACGCGGTGGAAAAATTCGTCATGGGAGGTAATAAGCTTGTTGGCTTCAGTCGTAACGGGTTAATGGATTAACCAAAGAAGAAAATTTAGTATTACACACAGGGCAGAAAGGACAGCTCACCCATACACCTTACTCCTCCCCATCCTTTCTATCCTAAACAATGGTTAACGAAACCATTCCAGGGTTAACGTAGGAGCAGAACTACCACAGTGAATCTGCACTAGGAAAAGAGAAGGGAGAACCGAGCTTGGCAAAAAAAAAAGGCGGCTCCTTAACTGCGCGTGCGCCCCGGGGTTAACTGACAAAGATGCCAGTAATAACGCTCATTGCTTGCGTCATAAACGGGTGTTGCCAGGCGGGGCACGGGACGCATGCGCAGAGGGGCGGTGCCCAACTGATTTTTCTAAGACGTGCAGGTTGTAGTCTTCGCTTTATCCCGAAAGGCTTGCCTAGGGTTCCTTTGGCTGAGACAGAGAAAGGAGAAAGGTTCGCGGAGGTGACTAAGATAAATTCGTCATTTTCATTATAGGCTTGGAGGTGGAGGATCTTAACGTTAAGAGTCCTAAGCTTGGGGGGTAGGCGGTTCAGAGCCAGTCCTGCCTCACTTTGTGCCCACTGGTGTTAGGGTTGGTAGGGCTGCAAAGGTGAGCACCCCTCTCATCGGA